CACGTGGGTGAAGGTGGCCATGCAGGCGTGCCCTGTGGTGCTGTCCCCCCACAGATCCTAACGGGAGAGGACTGGAACGCAGTGATGTATCACGGGATCGAATCGCAAGGTGGAGTCAGCAAAGGCATGTTCTCCTCCTTTTACTTCATTGTCCTGACGCTGTTTGGGAATTGTATCCTTCTTGGGGGCTGGGTGCAGTGTGGTTAGTGCTTGGTCTGGGCCTGCCGCTCCCTCTTCCCCCAGGAGGACGGGGGGGTGGTTGTTGGCCACAAATACGAGAGGTACCTTCTCATCAAGTGTGAACGATGCAGCCCCTCCCTCAGGGGAGCTGGTTTAAGTCTAGAATATTCTCCAGGCAGCCTGAGCTTGGGGGTTCCGGAGGCTGTGGGGGCTGAGGTCGATGGAAGCCTGAGTTGCATGTACGGTACCCAGAGGGAGATGGTATGGTCAGTGGCAGGCTCAGGAGGGTTGCTATGGGAAGACGTGGGCTTTGAACACTGATGGCAGCGGGTTTGGTTTGGTTTTGTTTGCCCACTTCAATTCAGGAATTAAATTTTGGCCCTGGGCTTTTAAAAAACTGTTCCCTGCTGAAAACATCATACCTGCAGAGAAATGTGAAGCAAGGTTTCCTGTAGTGGGTGGCTGTTGGGCTCGTGTTTCAGGACCTTGGGATGGGAGGGTGGGTCTGGGGTCCGGGAGAGCCCAGCAGCTTGGTGGCAGCTCTGCCTTAGGCAGGCTACCTGGGAAGAGGAGGCTGCAGGGCTCATGATGGGGGGGGGAGTGTTGAGGGCCAGGAGAGGTGAGGTGTGAATGTGGCCCCCCTGCTCGGGGTGGGTGGGGGAATTCAGGATAAGCAGGGGCACTTGGGTTCTCAAACTCTTTTGTACATCAGAGTCCCCCAAGGGTGGTTATTGCTCAGGTTCCAGCCCACAAATGTGATGCTAACATGCTCCCCTGGGAGTGCTGATGCTGTGGCCTGGGGACCCCCATTTTGAGACCTGCTGCAGTAAGTAGCCCGCAGAGCCCGGAGAAAGATCCGTGAGTGGCCTTCTCGCAGACTGACCTGCCGGCTTGGCCTTATTTCCCCGCACGCACACCTGGACGCGTGACCCTGTTTGCCCCTCCTTGCCAGTCTATGACCTGTGACCCTGCAGACCCTGTTCTCTTTGCCTGCATTCGCCCCAGAGGGGCTGCACCATCTGTTTGCCCTGTGTAGTTCAGGGCCTGGACCCCAGGGCAGGGAGCCCCGTCTCTGTGGGGGCTGAGCAGGAGGCCCAGCAAGGAGGAGTCAGGGGCTCAGAGGGGCAGTGTTTGTTCACTGTTTAGCAGGCGGGTGGGACCTGGGGGCTGGCTGACTGGAAACCCGGAAGTGGCAGCCAAGGTTGTCGGAGAGGGAAGGGGCCTGCAGTGTGGACCTCAAATGGCAGGGGTAAGGGTGGGGAATAACTGCTCTCCAGAAGGAGGGGGCGCCCCCCCTCCCCGAGACTGAGTAGTGGCCTGAAGCTCATCACAGCTTTTCTGACCCTGCACTGTCAGGCCAGGTGTGTCAGTGGTCAGGTCTCGTGCTAGCCAATGGGAATCGTTCCCTCTGCCTCTGTGCCCCTCTCTGGCTGGGCCCCGAGCTCCAGGTGTGGGAAGGCCTCTGAGGGTGCTCATGGCTGTGGTTAGTGCAGGGAAATGGCCCCCAGCCTCAGTGTCTGTCCTCTGGGCTCTGCTGGAGCCCCGAGCAGCCTTGCCTATGAGGTGGCACCTGGCACGTGGGTCCCCTTGAGTCTTGGAGGCATCTGCCTGCCAGACTGGGTCCTGACCAGCAGCAGTCATTGCTGTTGGCCTCCTGCAAAGCCAGAGTCTACGCAAGCCTTGCCCTGGCAGGAATGACTGCCAGGTTGGGGTTAGGGGGGTGAATCCCCAGGCCTGTGGCTAAGAAGCTCAGTTCTAGGGCTCTGACTGGGGTGACTTTGCCCCCAGAGGACATCGGCAATGTCTGAGACAGTTTGGTTGCCTTGAGGAGAAGGTGCTGCCGCATCCAGGTGCTGGGCAGAGGCCAGGCATGCTGCTCAACATCCCACGACACGGGGTTGCCTGGTTCCAAAAGTCAGCAGAGCCAAGGAATGAGGTGACTGGGGAGGGCCTGGGTCTGTGGAACAGTGCTAAGGCCTGACACAGGGTGCAGGGTGGGGATGGTTCTGGGAGATGCTGTTCTGACGTGCACAGGAGGGGAGCTTGTGGGAAGAGGTGGCTCCGGCCCCAGGAGAACTGGAGTGACTCAGGTCAGTGGCCTGATCTGGAGAGATTGGAGGCAGCAGCCCTGGCAGCTGGGCTAGGATGTTTCTGGGGGTGACAGGGGCCAGAGGAGCAAGGGGACTGGAGGGGCATGTGGCCATCAAGGGAAGGAGGCTAGTCAGGCTCTGGGGAGATGGGGCCCAATTCTCCATGGGGGAGCTGGGGTATGACTGTGGGAGACTGGGGCTGGGGACAGAAGGGTTCCCTTCCTTAGCTGGAGCCAACCAGACACTCTGCTGAATGTCTTCCTGGCCATCGCCGTGGACAACCTCGCCAATGCTCAGGAGCTGACCAAGGTACGTGAGTAGGGACAATGCCTGCAGCCCAGGAGGAGCAGAGGGGGTGGGGGGCGGCAGCCCGTGTCACTCGGCGTGAGTCCAGAGATCCATGAAGAGGGTCAGTCCAGGATTAGGACTCATGTGACCACTCTCCGGGGGAGCCTCCTCAAAGTCCTGGACAGGTAGAAGTTAGGCTGCCATTTGGGAGTGCAAAGGGGGCAGAGGAAGCGTGGGAGATGCCATGCCAGGAAGGGCAGGTCCTGGAGAAGCCAAGAGCTGGAAAGAATGGCCAGAAAGGCAGGAGGAGGTATGAGGAACAGATGGTGCAGCCCAGAGAGAGCCCTAAGAAGTGGGGGGCAGGCTGTACTGGCCTAGGGGTGAAGGACCCTGAGGTGTATCAGGAGGTATGGCTGAATGAAGCAGCAGGTGTCCCCTCAGCCAGAGGTATGCGGAGGTGAAGACCCTCAAGGGAGGTGTGGGATTCCCTGTGCCCGTCCCTGGGTGGCGAGGGGGCCCCTGTGGTCTGTCTTGAATGTGCACTGTTGTGCTCGGGCAGTCCCTGGGCAGTTCTGTCCTCAGATGCTGGGCCTGGCTGGGACCTGGAGGAATGGCTGCCGCCTCTTTGTCGGCTTGTCTGTGCTTCAGCAGGACGGCTTCTTCTCCCAGCTGTGCCCAGTGGGCGGCCTCTAATATTCATCTCTCATCCTGGAGCCTGGTGGGGGATGTGATTATACACACCCTCCCCTGTGGTTTCCTTCCCGATGACACAGCCCCCTGCCTGGTCACCTTCAGCCTCACAGCCATGGACGGTGTGGCTGGCTCTCCCGCTACGTCGGCCTTAGGCTTGTGCTTTGACAAGCCCCGGCTCCTAGTGTGGAGGGTCAGGCCACCCGCCGCAGACGCCCCGCGTGCTTGCTCTCTCGGCTGAGCATGTGGCCTGTGTGTGCACCTCTCGCCTGTGTGCTGGAGCTGACACCTGTGCACATCCTGTGTGTGTCTGGTGCAGTCCAGCCCGACTCTCAACGCCATCTCTGTTCTGGGGCTGAGCTTGACTCGGGCCTTGCCTGAGGAGGGCAGGTGCGGGACGTGCCTGCAGTCGGCAGAGGCGCAGCTGTGCCCGGTGCTTCTGACCATGCAGGTACCCCACCGCCCCCACCCTACTCTCTGGTAGAGGCAGGCCTATTCGTGTGTCCTCCTTTGCTTCTGCTGAGACTTCCTCTTCTCCTGGCCCGGGCCTGGGCTGTGGCGGTGCCTGTGGGTATAGAGGCTTCCCTTGCTCTGGCTGCTGCCTCCTGAGGGCCTGGAAGTCCCACTGGCCTGCTCATTTCTCTGTCGGCCAGGGCCGAGACGGGCTCTGCCATCTCGAAGTGGCCGGAGAGTGCTTGTCCCTGGCTCCTACCTGGGCTGCTGGGGCAGGGGGGACCCTGTGTCCACCGAGCGCCTCTTGGTGTCAGGATTTCCGGGACCACATGAACTGGGGGTGCTCAGGAGCATGGGTGGTCTGGGCACCAGCTGTTTTGGGGCAGAGGTGAGCTTGAGCTTGAAGTTCTCGCTGTCTCTTCAAGTTGTGCCATGGGTGAGGACACACCGGGGAAGGGATGTCCTTGGGGCCCTGTCTCCATGCACAGTCAGCCTGTGCGATGGCCCCTTTGGGCCAATGGCCCTAATCCAGGAATTCCCTTGATTTGGAAGTTGGGGCAGGTAGAGGCCTAGCTGTGTCAGGCTGTGGGGCATTTCCTGGGCTGGCTGCCCTTCCTTTACAATGTATTACAGCATCACGTTTTTTTCAAAGTGGAAGTAAACTCAGTGGAGTTTGTAGAAGCTCATCCTCTGCCCTGGAGGGCTGTCAACCAGGATGGCATCCACAGCTTGAAGAAGGACCTTGATAGGGGTGTTCTGTGGTAGATTGAGCTTTGCCTGCTCTGGGGCCTGAAGCTTGAAGACCTCTTCACTATGGTGGGAAATCTGCAGTCACCTAACAGGGGTCTTACTTTTTGCCATTTGGGGGCCTCTAGGAGAAGATTTAAGGACATTTTGGGTCACATTGGGAATGTCACCTTCCATGGAAGCCAGGTGGGCTCAGGATTGGGGTTTTTGGGGAAATAATGGTGGTCTCAGCAGTCTAGCTAGATGACATGGAGGCCTTAGTTTCCCTCCATGGGCCATGGGCTCAGCCCAGAGCTTTTCATCCAGATCCCAGGAGCAGAGCATGTTGATTTTGCCTAGCGACATGGGGTTAGGGCCAGAGGGTCTGCCCAGATGTCCACTCCCCTTCCCATGGAGGGCAGAGGCAGGGCAGGGCAGGATAACTACACGTGTGTCAGAGAGCTGTAGGGTCCTCCCCAGGAACTTGGTGGAAGAGGGAACACAGGTACTGGAAGTGGCTGTCCAGGTGGACACAGGGAGGGACTTTCCACAGTCACAGTTGGGGACAGGTAGACACACGTGACCTGATGGGTCCAAGTAGGAGAAGCTCAAAGGCTAGGACGTGGCCCTGCTAGACCCACTGCTGGTGACAATTCCTGTGAGCGATGCTGTGCTGGGATCTAGGCTCAGGGTACAGAGTCCTGCCCCTTGCCTTTGCTCATAGCTCTGGGGCAGAGGCTTTGTTCGAGTGGGACAGGTTCTCCTGGGGTGGAGAGGCAGCAGGCCGCAGGAGAGGAGGGACAGGTTTGCATTTTGACAGTGCCAAGTCGGAAACGCTGTGGGACAAATATGCAGGCAGCAGCTGGGTCCCTGTGGCGTGGGCTCACAAGTGGGGTGTAAGTCACCAGCTATGAGCACCCCGGGAGATGGCCCATGGCAAGACGTATTGGGGCAAGAATCTTGGGGACTGTTGCCTTGAGCAGCAGGTATAGAAGGGGGTCCCTGAAGGCTACCAGAGAGCTCATGTGGAATTGGTACACAGTGCTGGAGCGTGGGTGGGTCATGCTCATACAGGTTCAGAGGGCGGGAAGGACTCAGAGACCACGGGAGGAAGAGCTGACGTTGTTAGAGGAGGCTGCACACTTGTGTCTGTTCAAACAGGATGAAGAGGAAATGGAAGAAGCAGCCAATCAGAAGCTTGCTCTGCAAAAGGCCAAAGAAGTGGCTGAAGTCAGTCCCATGTCTGCCGCCAACATCTCCGTTGCTGCTGCGTAAGGCTCTTGGGGGTGGGTTGCAGGGTGGCGGGGGCTGCTGCAGAGTCTCACAGCTGGGTTCTCAGCGGGACATGCCTTCTGGGGGCTTCCTCAGAATCCCACGCATTGGCGGGAGCTCCTTAGGACACAGCCCACAGGAGCTGTGATGTGAGGGAATGGATCCCCTCCGAGAGCAGACTTTGAGGAGAGGGTTCACCAGGAAAAGCCTCCATGGCTTCTCCCAGTTCGAGTCGGAGAAAGATGTGGCAATGCATGGCCCTCCCATCATGGGTAGGATTGGCTCTCTGACTTGCTCCCCAACAGTCTGGGTGGCTCCAGGGCCCCTTGCTGGACAGAGACTCAGAGTCAGGGGTAAGGTGTCAACATGTGTGTTCTGTATTCAGCTTTTTAGGAGCCAGAAGATTCTAGCTGGTACTTGAGCAGCCCATGAGATTTAATGCAGTTTCCCAAAATGTCTTCAAGGGTTCCCTATGGGGACAGAGGTCAAGGGGAAGCCTTGATGATGACAAAAGGTGAAGGCAGGGCCAAGGCTTCTGTGGGGAGACTGGCCACCCCAAGGTTCAGCTGAGCCTCAAGGCACATTGCAGAACCACATTTGGCAGTATTAGGGCCCTCAGAGTTGGGACGGAGTGCCCAGCCCAGGGCCAAAGGCTGCGGGGTGCTGGGGGAGGTCACCGACAGGGGCGCAGGGAGGAATGGGAAAGAGGGAGGAAGTCTGGCCTAGTATCAGTGTGGCTGTGAGAGAGCACCGAGGAGCTCTCCTTTTGTTGGGAGCTCACTCTCTAGGCCAGGCTGGGTCCGCCTGGGACTACTGACTTGTCTTCGGTGCCACGCCCACCCCACCACATACCTCCCATTTCCCATGCGGATCCAGCTGGCCTCCCTCCTTCTCCCTGTTCCCCAGGAACAGCCACGGGTACATCTGTGGTGGCACATCCATCTGTGCTGCCCAGTGGGTGGATGGGTTTGCTGGGAGTGTGGGTGTGCCGGTGTGAGTGTGCATGATAGCAGCCCTGTTCCTGTCCGGCAGTCCCCAGGGTGATGGCCTGTTTCCTAGGAAGGATTTTGCAGAGGACCTATCCCTAAGCCAAGCAGGAAGCCCTGGCCTCTGGGGGGGAGAAGAAGCTAGAGGAGGCCACAGACCCCTGGGGGCCCAGGCAGGGATGCAGGTGGCCTGCAGGTAGCCAGGCAGGACACAGCAGTCATTACGAAGACAGCTACTGGGGGGCTCAGTGTTCAGTTGTCTGTGTTTTGTTTGGCCAATTCAACGACTCAGTCAGCTTGGTCCTGGGCTTGCTTTGAGGAGGTTGTGGTGACCTGGAAGATGGCCCCTTCTCCTGAGCTTTGTAAATTGCTGGTGGTCTGCTTTAGCAGAGGGAACAGGTGAGCCTTTGACTTATTCATGGGCCTTGTGGGTTTCTGTTCAGAATTTGCCTTCTCTGCTCTTGGAGGTGAGTGCATTGTCCCATGGGCCCTATACATGCCAGAGCTGCCTACGCCTTAGGGGTGTATGGCAGGGCGTCCATTCCCATTGGGGCTGAGACCTCAGAGAGGCAGGTGCTGGGGCCCTCAGCACAACCATGGAGAACATGTCAGGCCACCAGGAAAGGTCTGGATGTTCTTCCTCTGCCTCTGTCCTCATTTGGGGACACTGCTACGTAGGTACAAGGCTGCAGACTGGTATACCCAGGTCCAGGGTATATTACACCAGCTGTTGGCCTGATCACCACTTCGGGGCTTTTCTTCTCCTGGGTGGAGCTCCTCAGGTTACACAGGTGTTCTGCCTCACAGTGGAGACTGAGCTTGGTGTCAGCTCATTCATGTCATGCCAGCCTGGGTGCATGCAGGCCCTGGCATCTGCGTTCCCCCTTCTTGGGCTAGCTATCAGTCCTGCAGGTTCTCCTGGGATGCAGCTTTAGGCCCTTGCCCCCTGTGGCATGTCCTCAGTCTGCCTCTGTCAGATGCAGTCTGTCTGATGTGATCACTGAAGCTCCTGCACACTTCAGACCAGGTCTGAACTCCAGGGTGTGTGGGTGGTGGGTGTGTTGGTGTTTGCCCTCCTCTTTGTGTGGAGAACTCTGAGCACTGAAGGCCGAGGCTCAGAGCTCCTGGTGTCTGTCTGTCCTCTGTCTGTCCATTGCCCGCCACCCTCCCAACTGTTTCTGTTCTCCTGGTGAGTCGTGCTGGGTGAATGGGCAACGCCTGCTTCTTCCCCACTGCTGGGTTGGGGTGCAGGCGAGGCCCCTGAGTGACACTCACCTTGACCCAGCTCCGCGCAGCCATGCCGTGTGGTCTGTGAAGTGGGACGACTGGTCCAGATGTTCTCTGTGATGCCTTGGATGCAGAGGGGCTCTTAGTGTCCTTGCTGTTTGAGAGGCTCCCCTGGGCTCTGTGCCCCCCTGGGCTGCACTGAGCCTCCGTGCCCCCTCAGAGGGGTGTCCCTGTCCCTTGGAGTTGGGCTGCAGCCTCAGGTGACAGCCACTTCACCTGAGGGAGGGAAGGGTCACTAAGGTTGACATGGCCCTCATGGTTCTCTGTGCTCGGTTACCCTTCTCCTCACCGGGACTTCTGAATGCTGGTGCACATACTCACCCACACTGTTCACTTACCTCACGTGATTCAGTCCCCCTGACACTCACTGTCACACACACTCGTGCTCACACACGATCACACCCACCTGGACACTCACACATGTTCACGTGAGCACACATACTCACTCACAGCCTCACACTTGTTCACACACATCCACACTCATGCACACCTATATATGTACTCACACCCAGTCGCACACTGATTTGCACACTCTTTTTCACACACGCACTTGCACAGACCCACACACCTGTTTGCATCCAGGACTTGCAGGTGGATGAGTTGCTCTGAGCTCCTCACAAATGTGTGTAGACTTGGCCTTGAAGGAGGAGCTGGGAAGCCACGGTCCTCCCCTGGGGAAACTACCTTAAAGGGGAATGATCATAGAGATTTTTGGTTTCTCTGTTGGTTTTGGAAAAGCTTCCTGAAAGTCACTGGGAAATGGCTGGAGTTACACCCGAGGGAAGTGGGTTGGTGATGTAGCTTGCTTTCCCCTGGGTGGGTCATGGTGAGCTGGAGGCACCTGGTTTAGAGCCTGAGGAGCCAAGGAGTCAGGTGGGCTAGGGCAGAGCAGGTTGGTCAGGCAGCAGGGCTCAGGTGAAGCCCAAAGGTAAGGTGTTCTGTGTTATCTGGCTTTGCCCCATCTCAAAGGCAAGGCAAATGCAGAGGTCATCCCACTACGGCCCCGTGGGAGTGGGACACCAAGTGGCAGGGGAGAGCCATTTGGAATTTAGGGACACACGGTGCTGGCTCTTTGCAACCGCACTGCCCCTCGTGGGGCAGAGTGTGCTGAGCTGTAGTGGACGGGCCCCCAGGTTGCAGCTTCTTCTTTTCCAGCCATGGTGGGGTGTGCTGTGTTCTTTTCAGTGTCACTGTTCCGCCGGATGCTCGTTCTTTCTCAACCTCTCTTTTACCCCGAGGTCTCAGCTGGTGCCCGTTTTGATGGAAGCGTCCCTGGCCTCCTGCCCAGATGCATACTGCAGCCTGTGCCCTGACCTGACGTGGCTTAAACGTGTTCTGTGTCCCTTAGAACCCTCTCTGGTTTTCTCACTTTTCTTTTGTTTTGTTTTTTGCATGTGCAGTTTTGTAAAGCACACTCGAGGTGCTGCATCTCGCAGCTCATCTGTCTCCAGCGTAAACTCACCGTGAGTTGCTCGGCTATGACACCATCTGTGGCTTCATGGCAGCTACACGCGAACCTCCCTCCACTCCTAACTGCTTTTCCACCTCAAATCACTCGCTTCAGGGGCAGCTCCAGGAAAGCCTTCTGCAGCTGCTGGGGGACGGTGGGCATGCTTCCTGACGTTCCCAAGTCCTGCTCACGGGCATCAGACTCTGAGTTCAGCCCCTCCCCCTCTCCCTCCTGGTCCTCTTGTCTGCTGTCTGTCCACGTGCCGTCTCTCTGGCGTCTTGAGCATGTATTTGCTTCTCCTGAGGTGGCCGTTGCTGGGCACCAATGGGCGCTGTCTCCTTGTGGTTCCCACGAGGTAGGGTGTTCAGTAGGACTCACTGAGGACATTCACGGGGTCCTCCTGCCCCCTCCCTTTTTGACTTGGGAGGGGATGTATCTGTGATCCTTAGGAAGTTGTCCTAGCAAGAGCAGAGCTGCTGTCTCATGTTAGACCAGCCAGGGCCTGAGCAGAGCCACAGAAACCCCAGTGTGTCCCTCTTGGAGGTGACACCAGTCTGACTGGGGAAGTGGTCTTGGGATGCTTGCCTCCAGGGGCTTCCTCTCAAGGGTGAGACCAACCGCTGCAGGTGAGAAGTCCCTGGAGTCGTTGGGTGTGGTCAGCGCGCCTGGATGGGGGTAGCCAGGTGTCCTCTCTGGGTCCCGGTGGTATGGGAGCTCTTGCCCTCCCTGAGCCACTTGCTCCCTACTCAGCCAGCATAGACCCAAGGTGGGCTTGCTCACAAGCACTTGGAGCTGCTGGCTGTTGGGTCCCTGATGTCTCACAGGGTAAGGAAGTTGGACCCTGGATGACTGATCACAGGGTGGAGTAGGGTGTGGTTGTAGGTATTGATGGTGTCGCAGTGAGGGCTGCTTCACATTATCAGCAGCTGTGGGGAACTGGCTCTTTCAGCCCAGAGACCTCAAAGTAGGGCCATGCCACTGAGGCTCCTTTTTGGGCCCTGCAGGCATCCACAGTGCCTGGGTTGGGTGTGACTGAATAGAGCTACACCAGCAAGCTGGGGTCGAGACATTGTGGGAGCAACTCCCCCATGTGACTCCTTAAAGAGCCTTTTTAAATAAGGACTTTGTCTGGATTGTCACTCTGTGTCAGATGGTGGCCTGACACTCGCTTGCATGTTCTTGCTGCTTGTGAACTCGGTGGAGAGGTGCAGAGTGAGAGACCAGGGGTGGCCACACTACTTTATGTGCCAGACAGAGCAAGGACAGAACAGCAACCAGGTGGGTGCAGGTCGACTCAGACACCAACAAGGAGGGGAGGCCTGGTGCACGGACTCAGAGACACACCCAGAGAGGAAGCCAGGACATCACCGAGTGGTGGGTGGGTGCAGACGTTTTCAGGTGGCATTATGGCCCAGAGAGGGAGAGAGACCCAGCAGGAGCAAGGCCAGGTGGGGCCATGTGACCCTGGCTGTTCAGTGTCTTGCTCCCCTGGGAAGTTCTAGGGGAGTCTGCCAGCCCTGTGGTACCCTCTACTTTAGCGGACAAGTCACCTCTTTGTGAAGCTTAGCTGGTCTCTGGGGGAGAAGGAGCTGTGGCTAGGGTCAGGTTGAGGGCAGCTCCCAGCCACCACACTGTCCCCCGTCTTTACTGCCTGTCTGTTCGGACGGAGAACTGGCCTCCAGGTCTTTGGCTGCATCTAACACTAACTCTGCTGACCCAATGGCGCTGAGTCCAGGTCTGTATCAAGCTGCTGGACTGGCTGTCAGCCCTCATGGGCTCCTTATCATCCATTTCACATGGTTCAGCATTGTTCAGAGTCTGGTCCTTTGTTTTGGTGCCAGGCTGGGATGGGTAGGTCCCCTGGGCTCTAGATTGAAGTCCACGAAACAGAAGGTAGTGGGTCTGTTGCAAGGCGTCTCCGGGAGCAGGGAAGCTCAGCTTGGATGTGTCAGAGGAGGCGGGTCAGGGCCTGGCATGGCAGTTGAAGGTGTCAGTTAGCAGATGGCCAGAGAGGCCAACACTTGTCCCCCAGCCTTGCCCTGCCTGCCCACCATATGGGCTCCCAGGTGAGGGGTAGACACGGTGCTCTTCTGCTTTCATACTTTTGAGGCACTGCCCTGGAAATGGCTCCCCACACTGGAGCCTGGATTTCACCTCCAAAGGGGCAAGATTCGGCATCACACACTTTGTGCAGGCCAGCTGCAGGGGTTTGGGCTTTTCCCACACCTGGGCACCTCTGACTCTGCAGGTCAGCATGGTGCTCAGTGGGCCAGGGCCCTGATGCTGGTGGCCTGTCCAGCCTGGGCCCTGGTCTGGGGCCCCCCAGGCTGTGACTCTGTGCTGTCAATGTGGTTGGGGTGTGGCCAAGGCCTCACCTCTGTAGATACCTTTTTTCTGTTTTGCTTCTGCATGAGTCTGATCCTGGCTGCGTCAGTGACGTGCTGTGGGGCCCTCTATGAGTCACACCTTCTAGGCTCAGTGTCTTCATCTGTGAAATAGGGACAAGAGGTAGTTGTGAGGGTTGGATGAGATGGGCACTGCAGCCCACAGCACAGTGTGGCTCTGAACAATACAGATGCCACCACCACCATGGTGGGTCCAGAAGCCTCCAGAGGCTGAAGGACAAGACTCTGGCCTCAGATGATGTTTCTGCTTGGCCAAGGTGGGACTGGGGTCGCCTAATTTGGAGGCCTTATTCAGTACAGATTCCAGAATGCAAAGGGCTTCTCACGTACCCTGGGCTATGGAGCCCCACATGTGACCATGTGGGTGAGGCTGGAGGGTGGTCAGACCTTTGGTAGCCTGTGCAGTGAGGGCTGAGACTGAAGCACAGGCTACTCCTGGTGTTGGAGGGCTCCTCTCTGCCCCGGTGGATGGAAGGAGCTCTCTGTGGAGCCAGGAGAGTGGAGGGCACTGAGGACCACAGGAGGTAGCATCTCTAGCGCTAGACCTAACTGCTGGGCTCCTGGGAGCAAGTGGTCACTGAGCCGAGGGGCAGGTGCCCGGATGGCGCTGACCGCCTTAGGGAGCAGTCACAGCTTACTCTTTGCCCCTGATAGGGCCCGCTGGCCCTGGCCCCTTGCTCCCTGGGCCACTGCCTACCCCGTTCCTGAGGACCCACCTCTTCTCAGGGTCTCTCACAAATAGCCCTGTCTCCTTCTGGCCAGTGGCTGTTTTTCTGGAAGTGGAGATGGAGAAGCCCCTCCCTGGGCAGCTCTGCTCTATGCTGCAGCAAGGCCAATGCCCCAGGGCTGCTGCAGGGGGCTCCCTGCCTCCTGCCTCCTGCCTCTTCCTCAGTCCTGCCCCATTTGGACGCTGATCCCCCTCCTCTCCCCATGTTGGCCTTCCTGGCCAGCAGCCCACCCGCCCTGGAAGCCTGTCTGCCACCTCATGCTGGTGCCTGTCATTCCCACTGCCCTGCATCCCTTGGCCAAGGGCCCCTGTACACCTGCTCAGGGGTGGCCTTGAGCCCCCCACCCCCCACCCCCAGGCTGGTGCTCTCACAATCTTTGGGATCCTAATGGGGTGGGGGGCGGTGCTGGATTTTTGTTACCCTGCGTATCCCCTACTTGTTCTGCACCGATTGCCAGGGGTCTCGAGGGCTCCGGCCACCCCTCCTCCCTCCCCCTCCTCCCTGCGCCCACTCTGCCATCCCTCCATCGCTGCGTCCATCTGTGGCTTCCCGTGTGAGGCAGAGAAGTCGGAGGGCAGCGCAGGGGGCAGCCGCTCACCGCCGGTCTCCCCACAGCAGGCCGCAGAACTCGGCCAAGGCGCGCTCGGTGTGGGAGCAGCGCGCCAGCCAGCTGAGGCTGCAGAACCTGAGGGCCAGCTGCGAGGCGCTGTACAGCGAGATGGACCCCGAGGAGAGGCTGCGCTACGCCACCACGCGCCACCTGCGGCCTGACATGAAGACGCACCTGGACCGGCCGCTCGTGGTGGAGCTAGGGCGCGACGGGCCGCGGGTCCCCGCGGGAGGCAAGGCCCGGCCCGAGGGCCCGGAGGCTGCCGAGGGCGCGGACCCGCCGCGCAGGCACCACCGGCACCGCGACAAGGCTGCGGCGCCGGCCCCGGCGGCAGCGGGGGAGCAGGACAGGGTGGACGCGCCGAAGGCCGAGGGCGGGGAGCCCGGGCCCCGGGAAGAGCGGACGAGGCCGCACCGCAGCCGCAGCAAGGAGACCCGCAGCGAGCGTGGCCGCGGCCCGGGCCCCGAGGGCGGCCGGCGCCACCACCGGCGCGGCTCCCCAGAGGAGGCGGCCGAGCGGGAGCCGCGGCGCCACCGCGCCCACCGGCACGCACCCGACCAGGGCAAGGAAAGCGGCGCGGCCGGGGCCAAGGGCGAGCGGCGAGCGCGCCACCGCGGCGGCCCCCGGGCCGGCCCCAGGGAGGCCGGGAGCGGGGAGGAGCCGGCGCGGCGGCACCGGGCCCGGCACAAGGCGCTGCCCACGCACGAAGATGTGGAGAAGGAGGCGGCGGAGAAGGAGGGCGAGGTCGAGGACCGGGACAAGGAGAAGGAGCTCCGGAACCACCAGCCCAAGTGAGGGAGTGCGCGTGCGGGTGGTGGGCGGAACCGCTGGCCGGAGCCGCGGCTGGGGGTGGGCCGGGCCCACAGGGTTCAGGGTGCGGAGGTGCCCGGCGGCCCCAGTTCGGGCTGGTCCCCCCGCCCTCCGTTTCCATCTCTCGGTGGTGGCGGTCCTGCCTTGTTGGGGGTGACGTGTAGAATGCTTAAAACTGTGTGTGTGGGGGGGCGGGGTATGCTCAGTGAATGTCAGCCATTATTCTAAGGTACCCAGGTGGGAAAGAGGGCATGGGGGAAGTTACTGGGAGTGGTTTGGGACACGCTGGCGTGGGAAGAGCATAGTGGCGCAGGGAAAAGAGAAAACTGGGGAGAGGCTGAGGAAGGCCTGAGGAGGCCACTGGGCTAATGGTAGAAGACAATAGGGCCAGGCTGGGTGGCCATGGCACAGAGGGCCTCCTACCCTTCTGCAGCCGGGCCAGGATCTGACTCTGACTCTGTGAGAAACCTGGGGTAACAGGAGCCCCCAGGCAAAGGCCACCAACCTCCCAGAACTCCCGCAGCTGGAGATGAGCGCTCAGGATCAGCCCAGTCCAGGCACTGTCTTTGTGCAGAGCTCTGTGCTGGGCCTTTTGGTCTGGTGGGGCTCTAGGTGGAGTAGCTTAGGGAAACATCCTCTTACAGGCTTCTTCATTCTGCAGACAGTTCCCTTTCTATACGTATTGTGATGCCAGCCATGCCTGGTCTTGTGCCAGGCACAGACAGGTGAGTCAGCCCCATTTAACCCTTCAGACCTAAAAACACAGAAATGTACAAAGTGATAAAAACCATATGAAATGCCAGAGTAGCAGAGGATGTGGCCAGGGATTTATTTGGTCTGGATAGGGGCATAAGGAGCTGGATTTTGCAGACTGAATAGCAGTTTGGGGCCGAATCAGACTCTGATGTCCATTCTTGGTTGCAGGGAGGCACACTGTGACCTGGAGGCCAGTGGGATAATGGGCCCTGTGCATGCCTTGCCCAGCACTTGTCTACAGAAGGTGGAGGAACAGCCAGAGGATGCAGATAATCAGCGGAATGTCACGCGGATGGGCAGTCAACCCTCGGACCTGAGTGCTACTGTGCATATCCCAGTGACGCTGACCGGCCCTCCTGGGGAGACCACAACTGTTCCCAGTGAGTATCTCCCCGTATTAGCGGGGCAGGGCCCACCTTGTGCAGGCCCAGTTTGCTCTCCCCACCCTCCCCCACCCCCTCCATGATAGCTGCTTGGGGACAGAGCATGCCTGTGGGAGAGGAAGTCCTTTGTGGTCAGCGTCTGTGCCTTGATACCTCATTGTTTCCCAGTGGCCCAGAGGAGCACTGTTACCCTTACATACCGTTACACGTCACTTAAGCTCTATTCTCCTCCCTTCCAAAAATATTTGCAAGTTACCAGCTCGGTGCCAGGCATGGTGTTAGAGGAGTGCTGGGGACAGCAGGACAGAGGGCTGCCCTTGTGGGGCTCACAGTCTCATCAGGAAGACAGACCTCAGGACAGTCATGACTCTTCATAGTCACGTGAAAGCTGCTATAGACCATGGCCCCAGACTTGACGGAGGCTGACAACTAGCTGGTGGTCTTCCCATGACTTACGTGCCTGATGATTCCTGCTCTAAGGTCCCCACAGGCCTTTGCCTGAGCCCTTTTCTTCTCTCACTCACTCACTCACTCACACATTCATGAGCTCCTGACCATGTGCAGGCACCGAGGAGGGTATAGGGTGAACAAGATGCTGTTCCTGTCTTCAGGTCACTCCGTCTAGTGGGCAGAGACCTGTGGGGATCAAATGCAGTCCCCTCACACTGTGTGTAGAAGGTGCCTAGATGTCTTGGGAGCACCAAAGACAGAGAAAGCATTCCAGGGGAGAGGGAGAGGCCACGGAAGCAGAGCTGACATGCAAGGCCAGATGAAGATTTCGGTCTCAAGAAGACCAGGTGTCACAAAATGCCTGCCTCTGTTTGCAGATGTGTCCACACACATAGGCATGTGCATATGCCCCTTATCTCTTGCGCAGGTGCGCTCATCTGGGGCCTGTGAACCAGGGTATGATGCTAGGGGTAGCAACGGGAGGTGGCCAGCTCTGGCTGCTTAGGCTCCCCTTCTCCTTGCTTCCTTGGGAGAAAGCTTTCCCCGGCCCATTCTCTTGTTTCACCTGTCATGGATACTAATGGGTCTGTCTTCCCAGACTCCTGGAAAGCAACCCCCTGGTCTGAATCTCTCTGGCTAAGCTTGAGGATGAGCCCAGGGTTCCCACCTGGCTTTTGTCCATGAGTCAGGCGCAGCCCCTCCTCACCAGCTCCTGGCAACCACTGATCTTTTTAGTGTTTCTGTAGTTCTGCCTTCTCTAAAATGTCATATATTTGGAATCATACAGTGTATAGCCTTTTCAGATTGGATTCTTTCACCTACCAATATGCATTTAAGGTTCCTCCGTGTCTTTTCATGGCTTGATAGCTCATTTCTTTTTAGCACTGAATAGTATTCCATTGTCTGGATATACCACAGTTTATCCATCCACCTATTGAAGGACATCTTGATTGCTTCCGAATTTTGGCAATTATGAATAAAGCTGTTAAAAGCATTTATGTTCAGGATTTTGTATGGACATTCAGTTCAACTCATTTGGGCAAATAGCTAAGAGCATGACTGTTGGATTATAAGGTAAGATTGTGTTTAGCTTTGTGGAAAAACTGGCGAACAGTCTAACAAAGTGGCTGTATCATTTTGCATTCCCACCAGCAATGAATGAGAATTCCTGTTGCTTCACATCTTCTCCAACATCTGGTATTGTCAGTGTTTTGTATTTTTCCATTCTAATAAGTATGTAATGGTATTTCATTGTTCTATTTTGCAATTCCCTATTGACATATGACATTGAGCATCTTTAATATGCTTGTTTGTCATCTGTGTATCTTATTTGGTGAGATACCTGTTATATCTTTTGCTGATTTTTAAATTTTCTTATTTGAAAAAAAATTGAGACAGTTTTTTAGAGAGCAGTTTAAGGTTCAAAACAGAGAGGAAGGTACAGAGAGTTCCCCTTACTCTGTGCCCCCCACACATACATAGCCTCCCCCATTATCGACATTCCCCACCAGATGGTGCATTTGTTACCAAGGATGCATCTACACTGACACATCATAATCACCCGAAGTCTGTAGTTTACCTCAGGGCTCACTCTTGGTGAGCCATTCTATGGGTTTGGACAAATGTACAATGACATATATCCATCATCATCATAGGATACAGAGTATTTGCCCTGATAATTCTCTGTGCTCTAGCTATTCATCCCTCCCCCCCCCAACCTTTAGCAAACACTGATCTCTTGACTGACCATTGTTTTGCCTTATTCAGAATGTAATTATTTGGAATCATACAGTACATAGCCTTTTTAGATTGGTTTCTTTTGCTTACCTATATATATTTAAGGTTCTTCCGTGTCTTTTCATGGCTTGAAAGCTCATTTCTTTTTGGCACTGCATAATATTTCCATTGTCTGGGTGTCCCACAGTTTATCCATTCATCTACTGGAGAACATGTTGGGCCCTTCTAAATTTTGGCAATTATGAATAAAGCTGTTATAACATCTGTGTGGAAGATTTTGTGTGAACTTGCTTTCAGCTTCTTTGGGTAAATACCAAGGAGAGTAATGGTTGGATCATATGGCAAGAGTATGTTTAGTTTTGTAAGAAACCATTGAATTGTCTATACCACTTTGCATTTCCACTAGTAACGTATGAGAGTTCCCATTACTCCACGGCCTTGTCAGCATTTGGTATTGTCAGTGTTCCAGATTTTGGCCATTCTGTGAGTGTGTAGTGGTATCAAATTGTGTTAATTTGCATTTCCCTAATGATGTGTGATGTGGAACATTGTTTTTATATACTTATTTGCAGTCTGCATTGTCTTCTTTAGTAAGGTGTCTGTTAAGATCTTTGGCCCATTTTTTAATTAGGTTGTTTTCTTATTTTCAATTTTTAAGAGTTCTTTGTAAATTTTAGATAACACTTTTTTTTAATCAGATGTGTTTTTTTGCAGATTTTTTCTCCCATCTGTGGCTCATCTAATTGTTTTCTTGACATTGTCTTTCACAGAGCAGAATTTATTAATTTTGGTGAAGTCCAGCTGATCCATTATTTTTTTTTCATGGATCTTATCTTTGGTGTTGTATCTAAAAAGGATCATCATCAACAAGGTCATTTAGGTTTTCTCCTATAGTCATCCCCTAGGAGTTTTACAGTTTTGCATTTCACATTTAGGCTTATGAGCCATTTTGACTTAACTTTTGTGAAGGGTATAATGTCTATGTCTATATTCATTTTCGCATGTGAACATCTAGTTGTTCCTAGCACCAGTTGAAGAGACGATCATTGCCCCAGTGATTATCTTTGCTTCTTTATCAATGATCATTTGACTATATCTCTGGGGTCTATTTCTGAGCTCTCTATTCTGTTCTGTTGTTCTATTTGTCCTTTCACTGATATGATACTGTCTCGATCACTGTAACTTTATAGTGAGTCTTAAAGTTGGGTGGCACTCGTCCTCTAACTTTGTTCATCTCCTTCTATATGGAAGCGTTGGCTGTTCTGGGTCTTTTGCTTCTCTATATAAACTTTTGCTCGCTATATAAATCATTTTGCTGATATCCATAAAATAACTTGATGAGATTTTGATGGGGATTGCATTAAGTCTATAGGTCAAGTTGGGAAGAACCAGCACCTTGACAATATTGACTCTTCCTGTTCATGAACATGGAACATTTCTGTCTTTATTTAGTTCTTTCATTTCATTCATCAGAGTTTTAGTTTTCTATATGTAGATCTTGTAGATATTTTGTTAGATTTATACTTAAGAATTTCATTTTGGAGGGAGCTAATATAAATGATACTGTGCTTTTAATTCCAAATTTTACTTATTTATTGTTGATAAATAGTAAAGTGATTGACTTTGGTGTATTAACCTTGTATCCTGAAACCTTGCTAAAATCATTTAGTACCAGGAGTTTTTTGTTGATTCTTTTGGATTTTCTATATAGATATCACCTCATCTGTGAACAAAGACAGTTTTATGTCTTCCTTCCCAATTTGTATATGTTTTATTTCCTTTTCTTGCCTTATTGCATTAGCAAGGACTTCCAACATGATGTTGAAAGGAGTGGTAAGAGGTGACATCCTTGCCTTGTAGACCTGATCTTAGTGGGAAAATTTCAAGTTTCTCATCATTAAGTATGAGGTGAGCTGTAGGTGTTTTGAAGATAGTCTTTTATCAAGTTGGGAAGTCCCCTTCTATTCCTAGTTTACTGAGAGGTTTTATGATGAATGGGTTTTGGATTTTGTCAAATGCTTTTTTCCGTCTATTGATATGATCAAGTGACTTTTCTTCTTTAATCTGTTGATGTGATCATTCAATGATTTTCAAATGTTGGAAGAGCCTTGAATACCTGGGACAGATCCCACTTGGTTATGGTATATAATTCTTTTTATACTTTTTGAGATTTGATTTGCTAATATTTTGTTAAGAATTTTTGTGTCTATTTTCATGAGAGATATTAGTCTATAGTTTTCTTATAATGCCTTGTCTGGTTTTGTTACTAGGGTAATGCTGATCTCATAAAATGAGTTAGGAAGTACTCCCTTTGCTTCCGTCCTTTGAAAGAGATTGTTGGGGCGTCTGAGTGACTCAGTTGTTGAGCGTCTGCCTTCGGCTTAGGTCATGATTCCAGGGTCCCGGGATCGAGCCCTGCATCGGGCTCTCTGCTTGGCGGGGGGCCTGCTTCTCCCTCTCCCACTCCCCCTGCTTGTACTCCTGCTCTCTCTCTCTCTTTCTCTCAAATAAATAAATAAAATCTTAAAAAAAAAAAAGAGATTGTTGACAACTGGTATAATTTCTTCCTTAAGTGTTTGGTAGAATTCATCAGTGAACCCATCTGGGTGGGCCTGGTGCTTTCTGTTTTGGAAGGTAGTTAACTTATGAATTAATCTCTTTAATAGATAGATGCCTATTTACATTGTCTATTTCTTCTTGTGTGAGTTTTGGTAGATTTGTCCTTCCAAGGAATTGGTCCATTTCATGTAAGTTATCGAATTTGTGGGCATAGAGTTGTTCATAGTGTTCTTTTATTATCCTTTTCGTCT